ATGTTGGCCTTTGTGTTCATACATTTGACATGGAGCCAAATGAGATCCTGGGACAGATGCATGACTTTGTATTTTTATGGGGAGACTTTCATTTCCATTATTTCTGTTCTAAATCAATTCCACAGGATATTAGAAGGAGAGGATTTACAGTCGGGAAACTGCAACCGATCAGGATTTCAGAGTGGCCCAATTCGGTGTAACCTGAATCTCATTGGGCTTTGAACATGGAAGGAGAAAACACCATTGACAGCGGTGAGAAACTGTACATGTGTAGTGCATGTGCACGAGCGTTCAGCCGATCATCTGACCTCTCGAAACATAAACGGAGTCATAAGGAGAAACTGTGGAAATGTGGGGACTGTGGGAATGGATTCAGATCCCCAGCTGAACTGGAAATTCATCGGCGCAGTCACACTGGGGAGAAACCATTCTCCTGCTCTGAATGTGTCAAGGGATTCAGTCAGTTTCAGCGAGTTCACGCTGGGGAGAGGCCATTCATCTGCTGTACGTGCGGCAAGGGATTCACTTTGGCTTCCAGCCTTCAGACGCATCAACGAATTCACACTGGGGAGAGGCCATTCACCAGCTCCTCGTGCGGGAGGGGGATTCTCCGACACATCCAGCTTGATGACACATCGGTGAGTTCATACTGAGAGAGTGTTTACCTGTTCCCACTGCAGGATGGTGTTGAGGCGTTTATCTGAACTGACTGTACATCAGCAGACTGCCTGTGGAGAAGCTGAATGAGGGGATTCACTGACCCTGCCACCTTGTGGACAGTTCACACTGGGGAGAGGCTGATCCCCCTGCACCAAGTGTGGGACATATCCTCTCCGTCATCCAGCCTGCTGAAACACCAGTGAGTACATTGTGTGAAGAATCTATTCACGTGCTGAATGTGGAAAAGTAATCACTCAGTCATCCAGCCAACTGAGAAGCCATCGCGTTTGCACAGGGGAGAAGCCTTTCCAATGTCCAAACTGAGCGAAGTATTTGAAAAGATCCTGGGAGTTGAC